AGGAGAATCAATCGAACCCAGGAGGCAGAGGTTATAGTGAGCTGAGATCACGCCACTGCACTCCAGCCTGGGCAACAGAGTGAGACTCCATCTCGAAAAACAAAAACAAAAACACAAAAACAAAACAGTGACCTGGTCCCCTCTCCCAAAGTCCACTCAATATCCAAGACCCTCTGTGTAAAGCCAACACCTGGAGGAGCTTCTCTAATCCCCAAACCCTCTCAACAAAGCATGCCCAAACCTGATCCCTTCAATGATGTGTGTAGCCATCGCAAATCCAGGCACAGGGTTGTGTTCCGTCATCCAGGTTGGAGTGTGGTGGCTGGATCATAGCTCACTGCAGCCTCCAACTCCTGAGCTCAAGCGATCCTCCCGTCTCAGCCTGACAAAGTGCTGGGATCACAGGCACGAGCCACTGTGCCTGGCCCATAACAATCATTTAAAAGACAAAACCTAATTTTAAATGTGAAACAGACCCTTGAGCGTACCTTCGCACACACTCTCCAGAGAGAAGTAGGTGGTCTGACTGATACAGCCTGCGCCCTCCACCAGAGAAGTCACACAGCCAATCAACACTCGGGGGCTGCAGTCTGAGGGACTGCCTTGGTTTCTGCTGTCGTCTTCCCATTTATCAGAGACAGCTTCTACCTGTAAAACACATACACTGCTCTTTAAACCATAACACAAGAACTACAAGAAAAGCAAACTATAGGCTGGAATGCCTGTCTGAGTCCATTAGGGCTGCAAGTCCAAGATCAAGGCCCTGGCAGATTCCGGGTCTGGTGAGGGCCCTCTTCCTGGTTCACAGTCGGTGTCTTCCTGCTGTTGGCAGAAAGGGCAAAGGGGTTCTCTGGGGTATGTTTCTTAAGGGCTCTGCCCCGTGACCTAATCACCCACCAAAGCCTCCTAATAAGATCGTGCTGGGGTCAGGATTTCAACATACGTATTTTGGGGGACACCTACATTGAGTCTACAGCAATCCCTTATGAACACTGATGCAAAAATCCTCAACAAAATATTATCAAACTGAATGCAGCAGCATATTAAAAGGATTATATTCCATGACTAAATGGGGTTTATCCCAGAATGCAAGTGTTTCAACATAGGAAAATCAGTCACCATATTACATTGATGAGGGAAAAAAATCACGATGATCTCAACTGATGCACAAAAAGCATTTGACAAAATCAACACTTTTCATGAGGCACACTCAATAAACTAGGAATTGCAGGAAATCTCTTCAACACGAGAAAGGCCATAAATAAAAAACTCACAACAAACACCGCACTCAATGGTGAAAGGCCGAAAGCTTTCCTCTAAGATCAGGAACCAGGTAAGGATGCCCATGCTCACTTCAAGATTTTCAAATTTCAATTATCTTTATTCACAGATGGTAGGATCTCATCTGTGGAAAACTCTAAAGATTCCACACATGTAAATAAAACAAAAAATGGTTAGAACTAATAAATGAATCCAGCACAGGACGCAAATATACAAAAATCAGATTTCCATACATTTGAAATGAAAAATCCAAAAAGGAAATCAAGAAAAAGGATTCCAAAGAAACAGCAAACAATTCCATTT